CAGAGGAAAGTGCCGATCACAAAATTGATTTAGGCTCGGCTATAGTTGTGTCTGGAAGGCACATCGGCCTTTGCGGTTCACTGATGTTTTGGTGAAATAAGATTAAATGATACCCAGGTAGGAATAGCCGAGTGTTTAGGAGTATACGATCATGTCTGCATCACTGACAGCCGCGATTACGATTCTTGACAGCAACAGTAGCATGAGGCCCAGGTTGACAGACGGGCCCGAAAGATTTCCAGTCACAAAAACCATGAAAATGTCGCACACAAATCAATGGAAATGCTAAAACTCCACTACTAAGTGATGCGCAAAAGCCTAGCTTGAGTTCGTAGAATGTTAGTGAAAATATCACTAAGAAGGTGAGCAGCAGAAAGCAAAAATATGTGAAAAACTTTATATAAAATATTCTTTGCAGCTTCAGTTGCTCCACGCCTCTAACTTCATGTAAAGGAAGTATTTGAGATCAGTACAAAGAATGGATGTGCATACCCGCAAGGAACACGGCCACATGTGCACACGCGCTGCAAAGGGATCTCATTATCTACCGTCCGCTCCTTCTCCCTCAATACCTCGTTGAGAATGACACTGTTGTTAGGAACGCTGTCGCAAAAACGACAACAGCTAAAGGAAAGCTCTGGGCATGAACCTATTCCGCAGGCTATAGGGGTTACGAAATGTATTCACGACAATGCAGCCAATCCTGCCAAGTGGTCATGATCATATAACTCGTTACGATTTCGAGTGAAGGTGGGATGCTGGCCTATACTCGGACGAAATCGGATGACGACGAAACATTTCGAGGGATACCCCCCAGGAGGTGCGTCGCGCGGCAAAAAGCAAAGTCAGCGGACGAGTAGCGCGCGTACTGTAAGGATTTCGCGTCAAGTTAAATAGAGTGTCACACTGCACGTCCTACATCGCACACCGCGCGCTGCAACTCGTCCGCCGACTCTGCCTTCTTGCCGAGCGTCGGGCCTCCGGAGAACCCCATTTCGAGCATTGCCAACAAACTACATTTGCAATGGTGAAGAAGGGAGCGGCTTCTTGAGCTGCCGAAAATCATCCTCGATAGATCCTCGACGCAAATATCTCCTCAACTGGAGTATGTAGAAGGAAGCTATACACAAAGCTAGAAAGCGCAAATCTACCGCTTTCCAAAACTCTCTACGTCTTCCCAAGATCTTGCGAAATTAGAGAGATATCACCTTTTAAGTGGCAAAAACTCGCACGAAAATTTCAGGGTCGTCGACGCTGACTCGACGAAATTTGAAAGACCTATCTCTTCGAGTGTAAGGCTTTTAGAGCAATTTGAATACAGATAGTAGTAGCAAAATTAGCTCTATCTAGCCTACATACTGCTAAAAAGTTTATGAAATGGGGAGTGGAACATTCTCATTGAGGGTATAGATTTCGATGGTTTCTAGCGGGGTTTTAGCAAGTATCCAGGGATAAACCGCACCGCAGCTGCCGGTGAATCGGCCTTCGAACTATACGCTTGTCTTTCCCATTGCTCGCAGTGAATAGCTGCGATTTCTGCATTCATCTGTGTGTTAGTGTTATCGTTGTTATCATTTGTTCGTTTCGGTCATCCTGTCGTGACAGTCGCACAGGATTCTTCTTCGTCTTCCTCTTTCCTCTTCCATTCCATCTTCCCGTCTTCCAGCATTCCATTCTTCCGGTTCATGTAATGGCCCCGGGCGAATGGAATGCTTGACTAGCTTAGACGGACACGATCCAGAATTTGATCCTCCGACCGGGGGCGTGTCACTCAGTAAATGTTTTTCCTGTATACCCACAACAAGAATCAAGGGAATAATATCAAGACCACGATTTTAGGAGGGGAGGGTCGTACTGATGTAACCACGTTCTCAACACGATTTTCAACCTGGTGGAAATCACATCACTTTACTTTTTCAGCTGGTCCTGAACTCAGGTTTAGCTAGAAACTCGTTTTTGATCGTAGTTTGATCCCCTGAACACGGAAATCGTACCTAATTTCCGCAGAAATACCTAGCAACTGCACCACGGGCACCGTGGACACTCACAGGTAAGTAGCGCTTAAACCTAAAGCGAGAGATTACGGTAAAGGGTGTGTGTAGCGCATAAATACATTCATCAGTGGAAGCAGTAGTCAGGGACCGAAGGAAGCGAAATGCCACGTTTCCGTGGCCGAAGGTGCGCTAGCTGCAGCGTATTTGGCATTCCTTTCTGAGCTACCGCCTGCGCTCCGCCCCCCGCAGCATTGTTCTTCGATTAGCATTTTGAAGAGGTATTCCACTTCGGGCGCGTATAGTACTTATGACTTTCACATGGAATGGGTTAACAACCAAAGCATGGCTGGTATGATGGTGGCTATCGGTTTAATGTGACGAAGCTCTCATTCGATTGCTCACCTGGCCATTATCTTGGGTCAACGAGCAAAGAATGGAGCCCATTTTGGCCACTGGGCACTATTCAGCATTCCTACTTCCATTTGAATCCATTCCAATCTCATCATAACCACCACATTCTTCGTAGATGTGGCTTCAGGTGACCAATGAGAAATCGATCCGGAAGGGATTTTCAGCTATATTGAAAAAAGCGGGCGGAAGTGGTGTAGTGGCAAGTAGCACGCTTACCACGCGCGCGGCCCGGGAATCGTATCAGGGTCAGTCCTATCGTTGTTACCTTTTCAAAAATTTTTACGAGCCCCCTCCCCAAGGTGGACTTGGTACGACCCCCTTTTCCACACCTCGACCACCATATTCCCCTCTATTCCTCACTGTAGTATTCAATTCTGGTACCACTCAACCCTCCAGACTCCGCCCACTTTTTCCTCCAAAAATGCCGTCGAGCGGGTGGGGGGGGGGGAGGGGGCATATACCCACTATGAAACAGTAAAGATTTACCTCAACCAATTTACCCCACTAATTTCACACGAATGAAGCAGATACGACCCCCCTCCTATAAACTCAACCAGGTACGACCCCCCCTTGTTACTAGTAACAACGTAGGATTGGCCCTGAATCGAATCCCGGGTCGTGCTTCGCCCAGGCTAACCAAGCCCCCTATTTCTCCGGGGTCGGCTAATTGGTCGTGTCTGGGAGGATAAAAACACTGACTTGTCCATGGCCACCGCAAGTCATTGTATAGGCAACATCGCATTCAAACGCCGCCACGAATGTACAAATGGAAGTAGAGTGCGCGCCGCATCCCAAATAGGGATTGACAACCGCAAATGCTCTATCCTTTTATGGAAAAAAAGCAAAACACCAAACTCCATGACACAAAGGAACCAAACCTGCGACCACCTACATGAGAAGCAGGACCGCACTGAAAAATCTCACCAAACCAGTTCTTCGTGACGAAGGTCGGCAAAGACCCTCCGTGACTCCTTTCAGAGAAGAGTCTAGTGGATAGTGAAAGCAGATTTGAATTCTGCATCTGAAGATGCGTATATAACGGTGCACATCATTTTATTTGGCTGGGTTGGTTTCCTGGTAAGTGCTTTTCTTGGTAGGTAGATGTAATGCATGTACCCACTTGACTATAACATGAGAGCAGTATCGAGATCTCTTCAAGAAGGGGAGTTCGTAAAAATTTTTTGGTATCGTCCAGAGGCGGCGGTTGACCCTGTCAAGAAATTCTGCAGATTTTCAAATGGTAGGTCCAGTAGAAATGATAAATATTTTATTCTTCATCTATCTATAGAATTAACTTATTAGTAGTTAGTTATTGTGCACGATGTCGACCAGTTTCACAATGATACACGTACAGCTAATGCTTCATCAATTTCCGCCTAACCATACGGAAGGACGAGCTGTTTTCAACAGACGATGACGCAGCTTGTTCGAAAGACTCTGTCGGACGACGTCCTCCTGAATATTAATGTTAACAGTGTAGCAGCAAAATCAGGTATTCTCAGAGAAGCCTAGCTTCTACTTACATGAGTGAATTTTGAATATTTAAATATAACATCGACTGAGCTGTGTAAATCAGAACGTAGCTACAACAAGCGGAAGAAAATAGGCCACAGAGCGCGGTTTGATTCATTCTCACTGTTAGCCATAGCATATTTGCCACATGTGAATCACCACTCACGTCGGTTCGCCGCACCCTCATGTCCCTAGACACGCCCCTCCCACCCCTCACCCTGGATTACGCTAAGTTGTTATGGCATAACGTGTCTATGGTCATCATAAATTCTTCTTAAGGTCTTCATTCATTTATTTAAGGTAACTGATGCGAACCTCCAAATCCTGCGTTCTCAGTACTTGGCCTTTGTTCAAAGCTCAAACTTTGGACAGCTGGTGGTGAGACATTGATTGGTTCTTGACCTCCCAACATTAATCCTAAAAAAGCATTAGGAATGGTCTCTATGCAAGTACCAAACGCTTATAGATAAATGAAGGAAATGTTGTACTCATATGACACACCAGAATCCTCTAAAAATGTCGATCTCACACCCGAACGTCCATTCTCAAAGCCGGTGCTGTCCGGTCCTGAAATCAGAAAGGCTTTCAAAAGGCTCACGGTCTTGGCACCGTGGTCGAACAGTGGTAAAAAATATAAATAATTTGCCTCTCTGAACCGGTACGACTACCGGTATAGGTTTAGGTAATTCAGTAGGATATGATTCAATGGTGAAAGCAGGCTGCTTATCTGATTGAACTGGGTAATATACAGGATGGTTGGAGGTTGTCGATGTGGTAGCGTTTATCCCATTTACAGGTGAGATTTTGGACGAAGGCGCTCCTGGAATAATCTTTATGACATTTTCATTGGTGAGAGTAATCGTGTTATATTGAATTTACTTCTAGGTGTATCCACAGGGTAACGTGAAGGCGGTAGAGGCGGTGGAGGTGGAGGCGGAGGCGGAGGTAGGGGTCCTACGTATCCAGGAGGTGGAGCCACGAAAAATGGCGGAAGTGCGGGATGAGCAGCGTTCACTTGTGCCTGTTGTGGAACAACACTCAAAGCCTTTTATAATGAATTCTGGGCTAGTGGAAAAAAGCTACCTGTGAGAAGGGTTGGACATAGTTAGGTTGGGAAAGTGGAGGTGGTTTGAGAGCTTGATAGATTGGAATGGTACGAGCCTGAAACATCTGCGACTACTCTGTGAATACGACCAGTCATAGTCATCTACTTTTATACGTTTACTGGCACATACCTCATTTCCAGAGATACTAGTGTATTTGAGATTCTCCTTCACCTGTGCAATTTTGGCAGCGAGAGCCCGTTGCTTCTCCTTAATTCAAATATGACATTTTCAAGAGTTTCTCACGAGTCAGCCTTTTTTTTGTGTATCACGAGCCAGCTTCTAATGAATTGGCGTGAAAAGGGAAAGTGAAAATATAATAGATTAGTAGAGAAAAAACGCTGAAGAATGCTATCGAGTTTAATTGAAAATCATCCCACCTCTCTATCTCTCTGCAGAGAACCCGGGTTGAGGATCTCCCGAGCGAGTTGAGTTCCATAACCGATTATCGAGTTTTCTCCATCCGAGTGCACCAAAAGATCTATGACAATAATAAATAATTGAGAATATTTAGTTAATTGCGAACTGTACTTTGAAAAGCACCTCTTCCTGGTGGTTCATACGTCCTCACGCCTGCAGTCTGAAAGAGTTCATTTTACTTCAAAAACAAGGTGAAATTGTAGATGAGCCTACTTTTGCAGCTGCTGCGGCACGAGCCCGAAGAAGTGGTGCAATTATTGGCCCAATGTTGTCGATGATGCCAGCAATAGGGGAGATGACACTGGCCAATTTGGGCTCGATATTACCCGAAGACTGAAATTGTGATTACTGTTTCAGGAAAACGTGCAATTTATAGCTGCGAAAGGGTCCGGATAATGGAAGTAGTGTAGGTATGCTGCCGTTCGTAAAGCAGGCAAGCTGCTGCTCAAATCTACCGTAGGGCCAAAAGAATTAGGTGAGAAATAGTCTTCAAAAAAGAAACGCAATAAGTATAGATCGGATATCTGACCTCACGCTGTCTAAATAACAGTGTAGAATATGGCCTATTGCAACCTAATTGATGTGGCGCTAAACTGCCCCAATAGACACAACTCTGCCCTAATTTTGTGGGTTAAAACGTTAGGTTTGCAGCACCTCGCCGCGAATAAATCTTCGCAGGTAGCAAGGAAATAAGTTGACGTTATGAGAATAGGACATTGGTGTTATAACATAAGGTAATGTTGCTCTTAGTGTGAGCACGCTCGAAATGTAGCAAATTTTTGCAGTGGCACGACAGACCTTACGATACAGATTCCGGGAAGAGGCCGTGCAATTCATCATATTGTCCCAAAAACGGTTTTTTTATTCTTCAAAGGGAAAAAAGAGATCAGGCCAAGATTATCATATCATCCTTTGAAGGACGAATTCACGATGAAAAAGCAACCCATTCAAATTAACCTAGTGATGGTGAGTGGTACACGAAAGAAGGAAGAACCATGAGGAACGGCCCTGAACCCGAGAAATGGTACCCCTTCCTTGCGCGTTGATTCGAGCATTGGTGCGACTCTCATCGCTGTGCCCTCTTCAACACTACGCTCTCTCAGCTATCTAATCACTCGCTACGCATTGAACTACGGCGAGTGATCAGATGATCGGTGGGCGGAGATCGCCAGACCCGCCAGCTTTGAGGCATGATAGGTCGCCTAGGTCAAATTTTTCCATGCGAATTGCGCGTCAGTTCGCACCCTCAGGAGGTCCGTGGGTTCCTCAACTAGGTCAGTTTTCCTTTCTTCGACCTTCATTCTAATCTTGAAATCCTCCATCAAGAAACGCTGATTCGATTCAACTGCAAACCCGTCACAATTCAGTCTTATGAAATGGGAGGTCCAGTCGGGGAAGCAGCCAAACCGACAATGCTTTGACTCTATTTTGGAATGCTTACGAAAATTGTCCTATTAGGAATGCATGGCTGACTGATTTCGTTGTCTGGAATTGGAATTTTTCTTGAAGAATTGTGGTCGTTTTGTGGAGTGTACACATTGTCACATAGGCCTAAAGTTGACCTATCCCCTAACCAAAATAAAAACAAAACATATGACCGGATAGAACAGAAAGGATGCTTATGAATGGTGTATCAATTGATAGGAAGCAATACGAATTGAGAGGAAAATTTTTAGTTCAAGCTGTAGCTTAGCGATCAACCAGAAGAGCCAGACTCGGAAAGAACTCGGCAATGATTTCCCGACAACCAAGTACATAGCGGGCTATTCAGAAGGGGTCGTGAATAAGTAGATGGCACATTATTGATAGATTTCTCTTAGGGGATTACAGAGCTAGTGCTAGTTGTTGATTGAGCTTATTTTCGCCGACTGAACCTCCCCTTTCGCAAGCTCAAAATTCATTGTGTTTACAATGAATTTGAAGTGAAACGCAACATGGTGGAGCAGTGAAACCCTTTCGAGAGGTATATAGATCGGTGTAAAATTGTGGGAAAACAGTAGAATTTTGCAATTCAAAGAAAAACGACACTACTTACATATGGCGACACCTATATGTCTGATCAAAGCTGCATCTTTTAGCCAATCCCGCTCCCGTGCGACCCCCCCCCTTTCAGCTATAGCTAATTACGCGGCTGTAGGGAGCAGGGTCAACCGTTACGTTGGACCGATATTGGAGCGACGTTGGACCGATGTTCAGACCGCTCTCCGCGCCGGCATTCACTCTCGCCACCCGAGAGCCGTCTGTGTCTCCGTGCGTACGTTCACTCTCGGCCTCTCGTCGCCGCGTTGGACTTTGTCCAACGGACGGTTGACCCTGGTAGGGAGGATCAGGGCAAAACAAATTCTTCTTCAAACTTATTGAAACCTATGCCTTTTCGTGATCTTGATGAGGATTCCCTAGCAATCTCTCTAAGAATTTTATAACACTAAGTTGTTGCAATGTAGATGTCTCAAACATGCTTTCGTACTCTCGGCTGACTTTGAATCTCCGGAGCTACTTCTGCACCTATTCGAAGAAGGCCATCTTTGAATGAATCGTCCGTTCGACACAATGCGGCATTATGAAAGAAGAGGGTCCGGGAATACGAAAAAAAACCCATTTGGAAGACCAAGTTTGCCGACGCACGTTCTCTAAGGGTACTTATTCTTAAAGGAATCTTCCACGGACCATGGACCAGTGGGCGGGACCGAAAGTTTTAGTGACGAAATGCATGGTAGGCAGGGATCCACGTGTCGAACGCACGAACGTGAACAGGATTCACTTCAAACCTTCCCATGAACGTGGATCCGTACCTACCATGCATTTCGTCGCAAAACCACTTCCGGTCTGGTCCATTTTCCGCAGAAGATTCCTTTAAGCTTAGCCGAATACCCCGATTGGCGGGCGAATTTTATGGGCAAATTTTATACTCATTCAAAAGTAGATCCATACTGCGAATCCAGATAAAATTAAGAGCAAGTTTACTGTTGTACTAACCTTAAAATTGTACGACGAGGTGCTAGTCTCCCTTGGCATTGTCGATGTCGTCGTTGTTGTCGCAGTGTTCCTCGCAGCCGCTTCTGGAAACAAATTCTCAAAAGTTCTTATCACTCTTCAATGGTTTTCTAAACAACCAATTAATGAGTAGTCCTCACTCAAAATATTAAAGATGGTGGATCAACTGAACTTCGGAACGTACCGGCTAACTCTTCCTCTTCAGCCTCAGGAATTTGTTTGAACGCCACCTGTTCGGTACCCTTTCCTTTTTTCGTGGTGCTAGATGGAACAGTGGTGGAAGCCGTGGAAGCCACTGTAGAAGTTGTGCTAGTTGCTGTCGAAGTAGTTGTTGACATGACTGTAGTAGTACCAGTAGAAATAGGTACGTTTGTAGTGGCAGTACTGGCGTGGGAAGTTGTAGTCAAGGTAGTCCTAGATGGTGTGGTAGTCCGATCCAACTCCGCAGTCATTTTATCCACTGAAAACAATTCTAGGTCAAAATTTCACAACTCCAACAATTTTTTTGCGCCTGACCTCTTTTTTGCAAAAATGCCATAATCTTGGCTCTGGTTTCCTCCCTGAGCCGTTTGATTTCATTTGTATCAGAAGAGGCTTCTGCCTTTTCTGCCTTTTCGTCGGCCTCGATCAAAGCCAACACCTCAAAATAAAAGTATCACGAAGGTCGAATAAAGTAGGAATAGTGTTCATCGGAAATTACTTCATTGACTTCATTGGCTTCCTCAGAGCTTCCCAAAAGTGTAGTGGTAGCACTGTTTCCTGAATATCTCGCCGAACCATCCATCTTCGTAAAGTTGATTCCTGATTTTTGAGCATTTGGTGAGAAGTCCTCGATTGATTCTACGGACGAGGAAGTAAGAGAATACAATCTGTTCGGTGCGGCTAGTTGTGGCTCGTCGTCTTGACCTTTCTCTTTCAATGCCTTACGAAGTGCAAATTCTGCTACTCTTTCAACTGATGTGGGATGCGCATCAGTGACCCCCTTATCTTCATCCGTAGCAGACTTCAGAGTAGGAGATATCGTGCTGCTTAGGCCTTCACTTAGCGCTCCGTTCGCATGTTGAGCCTTCGGTATTTTTTCTAATTTCCGATCATGGTCCTTCAACGCTTTGCTGAGGATCGACAACACCTTCGACTCAATTTTTGATTTTTCTTCGAATCGTTCCTTTGCCGGGGTGTGAAATACCACGGTGAATTGCTGTCCGTTTCTTGGTGGCGCCTTTGTTGCAGGTAGTTCGGTGACAGTGCTTGAGAGGCTCGTTGATCGTTTTGTCGATGAAATCTGAAACCGAAAAAATTGTATTCTGTTTAATCAGCATTCTGCTCCGCAATCAGTAAGTTATGACAAATTCCGAATTGCGAGTATAGAATTGTTCCCCACGCAGGGTCAACCGCCCATTGGACAAAGTCCAACGAGGGGGTCGTATTCGGCCGACCAAAAGGGGGGGTTCGTATTCACAACGCCAATGTCGCAATACGTTTGAGAGGCGTAACTTCTAATTGCTTCTCCGACTTCAAACCACAAACGAGTGCATGGCGCACCACAGAGCAGAAGAGTCTACTGCAGTAGCGTCATATGTGACTGTTCACGTACAGGAATATACTTCTGAGGAGAAACAACGTCTTCAAACTGAACCCATGTTCGTAAAAGAGTGACCACTTGGGTAGGTCGACTGCTAAAGGCACAAGAAAAGGAAAATTTTTTCGTCTGTTGGCGACTTTTGAAAAGGGTTTCGCATCTGTTATGAAGGAAAGAGCTTGTGCGATGTCACGCTATCATTATTCCCCATAAATTGAGTTTGAAAGGAGCTGTGGGTGTTTGAGTATTGAAAACTCGCGTTTTCAGGAAATCTGCACAGAAAATTCATGAAAATAAACCGGTCCAACCAGACGATTTTCTGAACGGGTCATTGTGGAAATTAGTTCAAATATTTGTTGGAAAGCACTAATCTTCTAGTTTCTTACAGCTGGACAAGAATCGCAAAAAGTTTAATCTGAAGGAAGTTACTACAATTCAAAACCAAAAAACCAGCGCTCTGCCAAAAATCGGTCCGCGAATTCCCCAAAACGGTCCAACGGGGCGATTTTTTGACTCCATCAGTTTTGAAAAGAGATCAGGTATTCTATAGAAAGCTCAAACCTTCTAGTTTATTCCAGGGGGACAAGAATTGCAAAAGGCTGTATCTAAAGAAAGTTATAGTCTTTAAAGCCGAAAAAACCCGAATCTGCACGAAAAACGGTCCAACGGGGCGATCTTTTTAAGAAATGAAACTTTACAAGAGTTAGAGAATATTTAAAAAAAACAATCGAACAAGGGTTCCATAGTTGACTCACTACTTCTCACAATTTCTTATTTGAATAAAATTACAACCTTTCAGATGAAGAAGTGCGCGTTTTTCTGAATTCTTAATTTTCTACCCATAACTAAAGAGATGGGCGGAAGTGGTGTAGTGGCAAGTGGCACGCTTACCACGCGAGCGGTCCGGGGATCAAATCCTGGGTCGTGAGTCGCCCGGGCCAACCAAGCCTTCCATCCCTCCGGGGTCGGTTAATTGGTACCAGACTTGTCTGGGAGGATAAAAACACTGACTTGTATATCGGCTGGCCCCAGCAAGTCATTGTATAGACCACATCGCATTCAAACGCCACTACGAATGAAGAAAAGTAGTAAGTAGGATGCGTGCCGCATCTCAAAAAGGGATAGATCAACGGCAAATGCTTTATCCTTTTTATCCTTTATAATTAAAAGAGTTCTGGAGATAGTGCACAAACGCGGTAGTCTTCTGAAACTAGCAGTCTCGCAGATTACAAATCTGCTTTGTGTTTTGGAAAATATTGAGGCTGAACCGAATTACACTCATTTGAAAATTAGAGTTCTGCCTCGGTCCGTCCGCACTGGGTTGAGGTTAAGATTGTGCGCGCCACTGCAAACGCGATGCTATCGCGCTCAATATTGTGTGACTCTCGAAGAAGTAGTACGAAGTTGTACGCAAACATACACACACATTCACCAAGTGTATAGTACATAGTAAGTGTTGGAAGGGGGGTCGTATCGAGACTCGCTAAAAGGAGGGGACTCGTAAAATCTTCGGAAATGGTCCAACGTGACGGTTAACCCTGCCCTCAAGCATGGTGAAAATTGTGTCGAGGAAATACCCACCTTATTACGACCCCCTTTCAAAACATGGACTCCGATACGACCCCTTTTTGTCCTCAGCACATCCGATTTCATATCAAAAAGTGCTAGTTTCAGATGTGCGAGAGGGACGCAGCGTCGCTGCCTCACAAATGCGGCTTTATCCAAATGCTAGATCCAATTCTACTCAGATTAGGTTCCCCCTCTTTCCTTTGAAAACATTTAGCCTTGCCACATTGGCCGGAAAATAAACATTGAAGGAGGTACAGCCCCTACATAGTTGAACAGTCTCGCGCTCCAGTATAGCGGCGCTACGCGATCGCGTTGCGCGCTGTGCCTAGAGCGCGCTAGTTGGAAAAATCGTCAAAAGTACCCCCTATTCGAAAGACTATAACTTTCTTCTTTACAACCATTTCAGAATGTGAAGGAAGCTTTCGAATGCACAAGACTTCTAGTTTCTAAATTGTGGTAAGCGTTTTCCTAAGCACGCCTATTCTCGAGAGTGGGAGACGTCGAAAAATTGCCGAGGAGATTAAAATTTACATGCGAGTTCCAACTCTTTGGAAGACAGTAGCTGTCTTCATTGGCAGTGCTTCGGAAATCGAAGGAAAGTGTTGTGAAGTAGAAGATTCACGATTTTTGATAGGTGCTGCAGTTGTTTCGAACGCTTTCTAGTTCGCGAGGAATCTTCGCCGAGGAAATATCAAGGAAATTTTCGAAGCCACTCGAAAACCCCATTACTCCCTCGGCGTAGTAGAGAACTTCCTTGTACACCTTAAAAATGCTTCTGCACACGTCAGTTCGATGGAGTAAATTGAAAATGATGCACTTGGCGCAGATCCATTCCGTTCTTGTGTGCGCCGTGCAGTGACCCCACTCGGAATCATTGGGAAGGTTTTTTGTCCTAGTGACGACTTACTTGATCAAACCAAAAGGTATTTCCAGTATTACCTAATTGAGATAACTCTTGTGGTCATAGTGATATCTGATCACTCCTTTATTCAAATCGCTCCCTTTCCAACCCGTTCTGATGAATGACAGCTGCGGTTACAGGATCTGATGATGCCAAGAATGCTGCGAATCTGCCTGTTTTGAACTTTTTACTTAATACTGCTAAAATACTGCTTGGGGCCCCCAAGCAGAAGGTATGGACTGCGCGATCGTTAGATGAGTCATGACCAACGCCTGTGGAGGGAGTAGTGCACGGGCCATTCAATGGGTGTGGTTCACTAAGACAGAAAGCAACTGTTCGCGTTTCGCAGAGCGAAACAATTCTCGCTGCGAGAATTTCAGGCCCAGCGCTGATTATCGGTGGACCTGAAGTTCCCGCAGCGAAAAATGTTTCAAGCTGCGAAACGCGAAAGCTTGCTTTCTGTTCCAGTGAACCACATCCCCATTCAATCATCTCTACTCTCGTAGTAGGTCAGTTGCCACCAGAAGTGTACAGAACGATAAAATTCTGAGTAAGAAATAAGTGGACTCTGATTTGCGTGAATTAGCCCGTTGACGAGCCACAGCCTGCCGCGCATGCGCGTAATACATTGCGTACCGCATGACGCGCATGCGCGCCAGAAGTTTAGCATCAATTTTTCCACGCGTGCGCTCCTTCCCACGTTTTGGTATCGATTCTATGAACGATGCTTCAAGATATCTATCATGTACCACATAGCGGCTAGAAGCCTCAAAAACGTTTGGATCTAGATCTAAAGATTTTTTAGAACTCACACAATTTTTAATTCAATTCTTTGTTAGATTTCCTCATATTGTCAAGAACATGTAAAAGATTATAGCGGAAGTGAATACAAAACTCTGTTGATGGCAATATATGTGCTCCAGTGGAATAGTTGAGGTAAAGTACTTTTCAAATCTTTCGCGGGAAAGGTTGACAGTCTACATCTTTATTGTCCTTATGCGTTCGCTAGGACAGAAGTCGTCTGATATTTATTGGAGTAACACCACCCTTTCACTAGCACTGAAAGTACGCCGTCACACTCGCCTTTTCTGTGCATTTAACACCAAAAATAATCTGATGTTCATAGTGGCTGGCGCACTCGCTTCAATCGCACGTGTCCTACCCATAATGTCAAAACATGCGATGGTGTGAAAGTGTTGAATACGCAACCAGAGGCACGTTCTGGAAACAAACTTGTGTGGTCCTCACACAAGAAAGTAGAAGCGTTGGCACGATGTAGGCAGCTGTAAGGAATGAAAGAAAGCATCGTTGAAAACGCTGAAGTTGACAACTTGAAGTTTCCTGATCGATTGTGCTAAGGCAGTGAGAGACTAAGCACGGGAGAGAGGGTAGGCGAGAGAGCACAACGAATGAGAGGGCGCCAGTTACCAGCATTCCACGAAACAGCGACTGAAGCGGTTGCAATACCCTGGCACATGAGTGAACAAATGAATGAAGAAATTAATGAAAATATCTTAACATGAAAAAGGTAAAACATTTAAAGGACGAATTCACGCTGGAAAGGCAGCACATTTTAAATTTACTTAGCGATGGTGAGTGGTACACTAAAGAAGGAAAACCATGAGAAACGGCCCAGAACCCGAAAAATGGGACCCTTTCCTTGCCCGTTGCTATGAGCGTTGATGCGACTCTCATCGCTCTGCCCTCTTCAACCCTACCATCTCTTTCTCACCTATCTGATCACTCGCCATCGTATAGACCTGCCGCGAATGATCAGGGACGGTAGTAATCTACCCTTAACTTAGAATCAGAGGTGGTGATTAAGGGCCTTTATCATAGAATTAGGAAACAGACAATCGCGAATCAACCCTGGAGTAAATCACGAGTTTTCCTACATTTGCAAAACTGCTTGGTCGCTCGGATTTGAACCCATGACCCTAAGCTTTATAGGCCGCAGCACTACCATTGGACCAACGAGCGCTTTAACGTGGATGAGCCAGGCGCACATATAGAGGTAAGCTAGGTTCGTGCGATAACAAACTCACCTGTCCTAACGTGTTCGCGTGGTTACCATACGCTGATTTCGTAAATAATTCAGTGGCCTAATTCCTACCTAATCGAGACGCAGAGAAAAAAGGAGCACGCGGTTGAGGAGGCACAGAGGCCACGTTTGCCACGTTAACTCTACAGTTAAAAGTGCTTCGGAGTACTTTTTACTCAAGGGTCAAAAGGC